AAGTGAATAGTTCCGTCTGAAATGACTAAAAATAGTTGTTTTAATGGTTATTGAGTCAGATATGTGGCGGTAAAGTTGGGTTTATTGAAAGGTTTTATCTGTTTCTGTGTAAAAATGGGTTTGGCTGTAATTTAAGGACAGATTCCAATATCTCTGCAGTGTGGGGACTATAAATCTGATATGTGAGATGACGGTACCAGAACAATAGTGAGATGTTCAGGATCCATTCTTTGCCTCCTTTGTGAGTGAACTGTCCTGGTTGCTAGCAGCGTATGTTAAGTGAGGGGCGATGACAGCTGGAGAAGGCTGAACCTGTTTGAATTCTCAAATCTATAGCCAATCTTTTCTGGCCTCCTGATTTCATGGCCCTCGAAGGGCCCGGTCCAGGTAAGCCGGGTCCTCGGAGGACGCAGCCGCCGAAATCCAACAAACCCTCCTTTGCATCTACTGTATTTGTGCAGCCATTTAAAAAGAGATCTAAAGTAATTTTCAGTGATTTTTCTCATCTAAATTTGTCCAAACTGTTTTAATTTATCTGCAGGTGTTGCGTAAGAAAAACTACAGAACTCTCTCTCCAGCTGAGAGCTACAGTTGGCCAGCTGTGGCTCGTGGTTGCAACACATTTATTATTTCTCAGAATGCTGATCAGCCTCTTGGTTACCTCGTCCCTCTTCTCACCCATCTCCTGCTGAACTCCGTCCACGTGTCCCACGCCTCCAGTTCAGGAGTGAGTGAATATTGTGTGAATAAAGCGATCCATGCTTCCTTTGGGAGCTTTCTAATGATGTGCTCTCCTGCAGCCGATAGCGGTGCTGCTGTGTCCAGGCTGGGAGAAGGCGCAGCTAGTTTACGACCTGCTGGAGGAGACCAACGTTTCTCAGACCCTTCACCCACTTATCATGTTGGTGGGCATTGGCAAAGATCAAGCCAAGGATGTAAAAATCCCTAAAAACTGTGGGTCAAACAAACCGGATTTTATCTTTTTCCATTCAGACATTTCCTGAGTTCATGTTTTAAATGATTTTTCTCTATGACAGGCCTGCTGTTGGTGACCACCCCTTTCAGTTTCGTCCGTTTGCTGTCTTCTCACTGCTTTCTGTTTTTGCGGCTTTACCATCTACTGTTGGACGAAGCTGACGAACTCTTCACTCGTGCTCCTGATCAGGTGAAAGCTCATTTGTTTCCAGTAGACTCTCTGTCAGGTTGGGTGGAGGTTCTGAAGAACCAAAATGCAGAGATCAGGTAGGAAGAGATGAGTTCTTGTAGGTTTATTGTCCAAAAAAGCGGCAACTGAAGCAAAAATGCAAAATAACAAATACAGAAAACCAAAACCTTGGAGTCAGCTGGGAAAACACACATGAGGAACCAGCAAACAATCCTTCTTCTTCTCGTGGTGTTTTATTGCGGTTGGCAACCAGTTAAAGTGCATTACCGCCCCCGGCTGATAAGGAGTTGAACGAGGAAACAGGAAACAAGACTCGACCCCAGAAAAGGATAAAAAATAAAATAATAGTTTTCCAAACTGTATGTTTTATCCCAACATAATAAAATATATAATCAAATTCGTCTTCATAATTGCTAATTTGTCTTTATGCTAATGTCACTCTAATAGTGCAGCTTTCACTAGTATTTACATTTTTTTTGGTTTTCTTTGTGGTCTGAGCAGTGCAATTGATCACTTCTACCATAAAAAGTATAAAATCCTTCTTTTAAATAATCAATCAGTCTTCTGCCATTTGGGGCACTCCTGCAGAGGATTTTGCACTTTTCACTTGGGCCACTGTTGATTTGGGTTTTTCTGACTGGGATGGGATTCTGAACTTTTTCCTGAGCTCTAATTTCACTTTTCTGATCTCTTCAGATCTTTTGCTCACTTTACATCCGTGGTAGGCAGCAGTCTGTTCTATCAGAGCATTTAATTTTTACTTCTACTTACCATATTCCTGCTCTCCAGCACACCTTTCACATCATTGTTTTCCTTTACATTCAGCTGCTATGTGACCAAATTTTTGGCATTTAAAACATCTCAGAGGAGTGGACATTTTGACACTGTAGCTCATATATCCAAGGAAAAATCAGTGTCCTACTGAGCACCTCTGAGATTCATTTTTTTTTTTGTTCAAATTGCTATTTTGAAAAGCATTTTGTAGTGACGCCCACTGTTTTGGATTCTCATCGCCTTCGATTTTTAACCAACTAACCAACCTGTAAATTTGCGTTATTCAAAAAACAATCTATTTCTTTTTTTTTGTTTGTTTTTAGCAGTGTTCTTCAACAAACAAAGAAAAAAGTAAATAAAATGGTTTTATGGGAGAAACATTTAGTTTTTTTCTGTGTAGGCATAAATAAATTCTCCTTTTTTCAGATGGAATCCATCCTACAGCATTTTCAGAAGGTGACATCCAGAGTAGAGAAAGGATCCTGTCCTCGGCAGCTGATTGCTGCAGCCAGAAGATGGAGCAGTCCAATGGAGAAGCTAATCTCCTGTCACATGCCCAACCCTTACATTGTCATAAGTGTCCTGGAGGAAGCTGCGCTCTACGGCAATATTCAGCAGGTTAGTTGAAGTTAATGGGACTGTGATGCAGCGGCGGGTGGTGGAGTTTTCTCCAGGGGGCGCTATTAATTCAAAATAGACGTATACTAATAACCAATCAAACGTATACTAGGTTATCACACCAGTATATTTACATTAATGCCAACAACAAGAAAACATTATAAAAACATAAAAAAAAAAATAAACATAATTTGATGCACAGGTTTACTTTCTGTCCATAAATCTTTTCCTTCTGAGGCTGTGAAGGTAAATCAGGGTTTTCCATGGTCCAATATTGCGTCAAAAACCTAAAAAAATAATGAACCAGTTTAATAAATGAGAAGCTATCAGTCAGCTTTATATTTTTTAATATATAAAAACTATTTTCTGAGAATGTTTATTAAAGAGCAACTATGCAAATGAACAAACACCTAGAAAAGTAGACTATTTTCTATAATTTTCCATGTGAATCCCAGATTGTTCGTCATTCTTTGCCTTTTCTAAAAAACAAGACTCTACCTGTCAATCACCTGCAAACTATCTGCGCTGTGGCTGGAGGCGGTGAGCAGATACACTTCCTGTCACCTCAGGGCGCAGCTCCCCGTGCCTCAGAGCTCTCCTATCCTTCTGTATTGCCCATGGAAAACTTAACGACAGTCACTGGGCAAACGTTTGGAATGGCAATTTAATTGTCATTAAGATTAAATATTTATCTTGAGCATAAAAAAAACAATATATTTCGAAATATTTTACA